TTGAAGGCGATTCATGCCATCATCCACGGCGCCTCCATCAATTGGGCGAAATTCGTGATGATCCACATGGCGGATTGCGCCTCCATCGCCACTGAGCGGAGCTTGCCATACGCCTTCCTCGTCATGGACCTCATCATCTCCGCCGACATCTCCATCGCCGGCCCGGATACGAAGATGACAAAGATTTGGATAATTCAAGATAGCACCTTCCGGAAGAAGTCTGGAGACCGGGACGGCACAGGCCCAAATCGTTCACCAGCCCCCGCTCCCGCCAAGGCCTCTTTGCAATCCATAGCCGATACTCTGAATCGGCTAACCCTCACAGTGGATGGCATGGGGCAATCAATCGAGCGGGTGGACTGGACGCTGCAACGCCAACACCACGACATGACGGCGTTCTTCCGCGGCATCAACTACGTCCCGCCGCCCTTTGGCAGCACTTTCCTCGGCCAAAACTATGAAGGCGAGGACGAGGAGGATAACTCCTATGCTCCATCCTCCTCCCCTGACGAGGCCGACTTTGAAGATGCGGTCGACGGCGATCCCATGGACGTCGAGGACGACGAGGACACCGATGCTTAGACTTCTCTTTTCTCTTCTTCCTATGATTGTATTTCTTATTTTTTCCATTCCGTTGTATTCCGCATTTCCCTTTTTCATGAATAAAAAGTTTACTTTTACAATTCTAAAGTTTACTTTTAATTCTTTTTGTTAATGTCAAAAGGGGGAAGATATTAAGGTTATGCATAAATTAAGGGGGAATTTTTTGTAAAATGGCATCTATTAAGGGGGAACATCTTTTTCAAAATAATCCTCTTATGCATAACCTCGTCTCGTCTCGTTTGCCATTATCAAAAAGGGGGAAATTGTTGAAACACGGGCTTGTCACGTTTTCGTACTAAAGCCGTGTTCGTTTTTGTAACAGGTTTTGATAATGCCAAACCGCCGTGATCAAGTCGAACATTGAATATACAAGGCGAAGAACGAAGATAAGAGCAAGAGCTAAACGAAGACCA